ACTGAGAGGCGTAGTTTGAGAGTAGCTGCCATAAAAGATACATCACCCCTGCTAGTTTCTGCAGCTTGGCATCTAAGCCTTATTCTACCTCTGCGATGTCTTCGGACATTCCAAAGCTAATGGAAGCTATGGCAGTGCCATCGACTTCTTCAGCTGCGATGGCTACGTGACTAGCAGTATCCGCTTCCACCAGTGCAGTACCATCGTTTTAGATTAGTAGGGTGACATCGACTTCTTCAGCTAGTAAGCCTACGAATAATTTAATAGAGCCATCGAACTTTTCGTCTGAGGTACCTAGAACAAAATTGCCGACGTTACATGCTTCTTTAGCTACAGCAACTGCATCTCCACCAGGTCTATCAGAGTATTTGCCTGAACCACTATGACGTCATCAGTGTCGCTTATTTTAAATTATCTTCATCAAATGTGCCACGCTCAGCGGAATGGGAGAATGGCCGGTACGATGAGTCCTTTTCGCGTGATGAAGCATTACCACAATGTCCACAAGTAGTTTATGCAAGGTGGTACAATGAATGAACACATCGAGGTCTGCAAGGGTTCGTCTAAGTTCGTCTACTGGGAACCAGCAAGTGATGTCGCCAATACTTCCTGCTACATCGATGGGTACTGTTTCCGCAGACGATTATGATGAGACAGTTAATGCTGATTACGGAATGATTGAGTTGGTATGTGTGGAATGTACACTTGCAAGGAGTGCACGTGAAGTTGGCGAACATCAAAGTAAAAGTCGTGGACTCTAAATACTGATTACGAACATACGCCTTCTACAATGAAAATTAAACTTGATATTAATGGTAAAGCATGAAGTGAAGACAGTCATGAAGACAGCATAGATGAAAATCGCAATGGTGACAGTGTCGATAGTGACGACGATAATGATTCCCTCGATGTTCCTACACATTTCAACAACGAGTTTCCTTCGACAAGTGATACGAAGAAGGCAGAAGAGATTGAGAATACTGACTACAAATTTTCCGAAGCCGAATGAACTTGTTGGTAGACTTAAACGCTTGACTAACCTTCACAAACTTGGGTATAACTTGCGAATGGTTGAGATACATGCAGTCATAAGTAAATTGAAGGAGGGATGCTACATCAAATGATGTGAAGAACTGCTTACTTCTGAAATTGTAATTACCAAATAACACATTGTTTATATCAAATAATGGTTTTTTCTTTATTTTAGTGTGTCATGATCTTCTATTGGTCTAAAAATGTTTTGTAAAAAAAGTATATTTAATTAATTATGTATGTAGGTATACAGTTGAATGCATAAATAAATATGTTTTATAGGAATGAAAAATTATAGGTTATTTATCTCTATAAATATGTGTGCCTACAGCTCGCCTGGTGGTAAAATCGAGAAATTAACGCCTACTTTGTGTTGAAAATAGTACCCAACATGAAGGTCGTCGACAGCGCAACCTATACTTAAAAAATATAAACAAATGTGGTTGTCGCTTGATAGGTTAATTAATACACTAGCACCACCTAGGTAATGGAAACATATGAAATCCAATATGGCAGTCGAACGAATGTGAGAGACCAACTCCAGCAAAGTAGAAACAAATGAAGAATGAAGAATCCAAGATGGCGGCGTTCAGCTATGTATAAACAAATAATAGATGAAAAGAACCAAGATGGTGGTAGTATTCATGTAATTTCATATAATTGCTGACTTTTATGAATGTATTCAGTGTTTCTCGAATTTTCGTTTTCAAGGTAATTTGAGGTCACGGTGACCAGGTAAAGGTCACCTTCATTCAGTATGGTGGTAGTAGTCAGTATCGTAATATGCTTGCTGGTTTTTAATAATTTTCCTCACGTTTTTGTTTTCAAGGTCACGGGGTTAAGGACAAGGTCGCCTGCACCCAACATGGTGGTAGTAGTCCGTAACTTAATATGCTCGTTGACCTTTATGTTTTTTTGCGATTTTTTTGGAAATTTGTTCAGGGAAACGTGGGAAATTTTAAGGGAAATAGGGAAACTTTTATGGTGAAAAGGGAAATCGCTATGGAAAATGGTCGCCGGTGGACTGGAATTTAAATCATTTATTGATAATTTATAATTTTTTTATAATTTTAAAATGATTTTATATAATTTTTATTCCTTTTAATTTTTCATAGTTTTTAAAAATTTTGCACTTTTTTTTTTTTAGTTTTGGTGTTGAAGGTTAAAGGTCAATGGTCTACGGTCAAATGTAAATGGTCACTGGTTTCCATGACGACTGCCAACCGATCGTAATGATGGAGCATGAACAGCTCAGAGCTCCGACGCCAGACACCGTAGCGCCAGACTCATCTATTGTATTTCCTTCTGTCTGTATGCATTCCGCATGTAGGCGATGCTGAAGAACGCCGCAGCAGTGCGCCGGTCATGCCAGTTGTGTTTGCACTGAAATTAATAGTGGTTGATGTTTTGTATCGTCAGGTCAGTTCGTCGTCGGTGAAACGCAATACATTTTAACAGAAAAGATGGGTATGTTCTTCAAGCATGGGCGAGCTAGGTGTAACCACGCGGCAGCAAGGTGTTTGTACTTGAACACATGTCCAAATCGACGACTTTCTGACGAAAAAAACCTTTAAATGCCTTTATGAGAGCCTATGGAAAACAGTAGACGACCAGTACGCGCAAACCACGACGTATTTGAGATGTCGCCATAATCCATTGCAAGACCTATATACAGGGCTGTGTTGATGGCTATGGTGCACACTTAGAACATTTCCTGTATCACGCCACACATACAGTGATCATTCGTATACCCCGTCCGCCGTAGCGAGTCCCGTTATATTTGGACGGAGGTTACGCGGAGAGGAAGCCGAAATTTCCATTAATTCGTTTTTTTGCCTTCGCAAATTACCTACTACTCATCCTGTAAGCCCCGCCAATCTTTTTTTTACAAATAAACTGAAAAATCTAAGAATTTTTATTTTATGCATTCACTTTAGATCTGAAATAAAAACAAAATGGGTTATTTAACTTTTTCTACCGCGAAATTTCGTAAAAAAAAAAAAAAAGCTCAAATGTCTGATAAATACCAGTAAATGTAATTTATGTTAACAGAAGAGTATCAGCTTGCATGCCCTAAATTAGAAATTTCAGTAATCCTGCGCACGTTTGCCAGTAAAAAACAATTAATTAATAATCCAAATAAAATACCTATGCTTACAATGTGGGGACAGTACACAAAAATGTTGCATTAAAATGCATAAATATATGTCGATATGGAGATTTTTAGTGAGCACTGGCCTGCCAAAGATGGGTAATATCTTACAGTGAGCAAAGTGTACACCCTTTATTATCGTAACCTATGCAAATGCATGTGCATGAGTGTGTTGGTAGTATTAAGATCATAATGGCTTTTACCTGGACGCCACATTTTCCGTACAATGGATTATTGACATCATTCACGAGCGCGTTTAGGATGTGTGCCATCAGTTACAGGTCATGTCAGATAGATCCTTAAGGACCAGAAGACTCATGCACAGACATTCATACGACTGCCTTGATTATGGTGGGAATTTTTAACACTTCATCTATCACCCGTACATTTACGGTTACCTGCTACGACGACTCAGCATCTACACTGTGTCCAGCGTAACAAATCACCAAACTTTGGCGGGTCCATGCTTGTTATCAAACCCAAAACGGACAAAAGATAGCATAATTTTCAGTATTTTTATATGTACTACCCCCTTCGTAAGCAAAGCTATTTAATTTTGGGACAGGAGTTATGTGTGTAAATATATATATATATATATATATATATATATATATATATATATATATATTAAGAATATTACGTATATTAAGAATATGTTAAGTACCACTGGCCGCATATGTATTTATATATATATATATATATATATATATATATATATATATATAAATACATATGCGGCCAGTGGTACTTAACATATTCTTAATATACGTGCCTTACCTTCAAACTGCCCTCCAATTCTGCTACCTGTTTGTCCAACTTGAGTTTCTCTTTCTGAGACTCTGACTCCAGCTGTGACAGTTTTTCTTCGTATGTCCTGCACAGCTTCTCAACCTGAAACAATTACGTGAAATATAGTACACAGTTCTACAAAAACAAAACTCTCAAAACACAAAATTAATGTTCTGAAATTGGGTATGCAGACGTTCCCTTAAAGTTGACAAAATGAAAATTTTTATATTGCTTACTCTAACTACCAGATTATTTTATTTACAAAATATTTTATTGGCTGATTTCTGAGGGAAAACTTTGCAAAATCTGGATTTATACTTAATGAGTAATGATTATTTACTTTCTACGTGAGGTATATAATTTTCCTGTGTTTGGATGATCCTAGTTCTTCAACACAAATAATTTAGTACAAAAAGTCAGAATATGTTTATAGAAAAATTGAACAATTCTCAACAGATTATGCGAGTGAGGCACATTTCTGTTGCTTCCATATATAATTTTAAAAAAAATGTGTCAATACTCTGCTTAAAGTGAGTGAAGTAACTTCCATCTTTTTGGTTTACTCAGCGATAAAAGTAACATATATCATATTGTTCAAACAAACGCTTGATACATAAAAATAATTAGCAGATATAAAGTATACTATATTAACATCGGTTGAAAAGCTAAAAAAATATCCGGGGGAGGTTCTTGCGACGGAACGTAGATTCTTACGAAACATTATGAATGACTTTCTTGTTAGAGCATAGAACGTGAAAATTCCGCCGTGTTGAGAATTTGATGGTTGGGATATAATTATCAGAGAATCTGAAAGTATCCCTCACCTTTTAAGTTGGAAAAGATGGAAGCCAGTGATTTGATGAACATCAGGACTGCAACTGACCCATTGTTCCTGAAATATCCCAAGACAAACTAGAAATCATATATGTGATATTAATACGCATTCAGTCTAACAAACCTTATCTGCGTTCACGGGATACTTAAACGAAGACAAAAGCATTATCTCCGTCTGACATATAACCTACAATGCCCATGAGTGGGTCTCAAACCCATGACATTTTGACTGCAATATAAGTGCAGTGTTCTACTTCCACTGAACCATTGGCTAACAGTTTAATAGCCACGATAATAAGGGGTTGTACATTTGCGCGCTTTCATTCCTTTCACTTTCAAGAAATATCAGATGAGCGTTCTTTTATCCCTCACGGAGTAAATAAATAATAATAAAATGCATGTATTTCTGCAAAAAAGGAATTGAGACTGTTTATAAAATACAAATAACAATGAATGTTAAACCACACAATGACCAATATCCAAGTGCTGTGAAGAAATATGTTTTACTTACCTTAAGAAACTTTTGCTTGAACAAAATTGCAAAACATAACATTTGAAAGCAATGCAACGACACAATAAATTCATTTAATTCGAACCGGTTTTATTAACAAGCGACATGGCTGCATTGTTACATTCCCAAACGAATTTTGTCAAGCTCTTTATTCAATAAAAAAATTGTGATAAATACAGTTGTAATGAATAAGTTAAAATTGCTCTCTGTGAAAAAATTTCAAACATATGGACAAGTTACACGTCTACTATAAAGCCCTCCATTTACGATACATGTATTTATACGAGGGTTGATTCAGAAGTCATGGTTACTACTGTTTATCTCCCGCAAATGATCCAACACAGGAAATGCACTATGTACAGTTGAAAGTCTACAAGTCTGTTTTAAATGTGACACCACATGGGGTATGGATGCAGGAATGTCCGGCAAGGAACAAAGACAAACATGGCCACTTGAAATCACCGTTTAATTGATTTATTCTCGTACAGCCTGTGTACATTTAACGGGTGCGTATCATACGTCTACGAGCTGTTAAACAACCTTAAAATTGATCTCCGAGGTTGTCCACGGTTCATCAATGTATGCTACCCCACTTCGTACTCCTGTTGCAGTCAGATGGGATATAAGTTCATCCCTTGGCCGTGAGCACGTTCCCTATGTGACTTGTCGGATGACAACGGTGCGAAATGGACGTAGCCAAAGCCGAACAGCGTGCGTAAATCAAGAAAGCCGTACGCCGCGGCCGTAATGCACGCGAATGTCGTGTAGAGCTACGGGAAGCATTGGTAGACGCACAGTGGCCAAGGTGGGTAGAGGCCTCCAAACAGGGACGAGAGTCGACAGCCGAACTAACTCGCAGTTGACGTGCTGTGTCAGCTGACCGTGACGTGTGAGTGGATGTGGCCGATCAGTGCCTAGTGGACGACACTCGCTGGATTGTTATGGAATAAACCCAGCATACAGGTCATACCTTCGTCGTCAGTGCGCCGAATTATATGGCGGGACTTAAATATATGGAAGATTGATGCCAAGCAGGTGCCACATCACTTAGCTGTGGTAGAGAAGCGGACTCGATATGAGACATGTAGTATCAATTTGGGAAGCTTTCACCGTGAAGGTGATGGCATGCTGAATCACATAACTGTAACTGATGAAACATGGGTACGAGCATACAAATCCCAATTGAGGCGGTAGCCCAATGAATGGCGTCATCCTGGATGAAAACGGAGACACAACCCAGCAAACAGAATCTGTCAGCAAAGTGTCGGCAAATTGTCGGCCCGATAACTTTGCTGCCGGCAACTGTCGTTTCAATGCCAGAAGATAGCCATCTGACAACGGCATGACGTCTTTTTTTGAGACAGTATGTTTGCCATTAGAAAAAAAAGGCAATGGCCCACTGTATTTTTTTTTTTTTGGATAACAGAAGGATATCACCTAAATGATATCGGCGTGATATCTCATAGCTAACATGTCGCCAAAAGCAAAAATTATACTATGGCCCGATTCCGATATAGCATCTTTATTTTTTCAATAAGCTGACCGTCATTTTATTTATTCTGGCCCGCTAACGTTTTCGAGACATGGCTATTTATCACAATAAAGATACAAATATGATGTATTTTTTTCCGACAAACTTTCTGAAAGTGTTTTTTGAACAGGCAAGATTTAGCTTGCTGTTAATAGCATGATGACTTTTTGAGACCACGTGTTAAATATTAGCATGTTTTTTTTTCATAATTATATATGTGTCACGTGGTAGCCCATGGCATTTTTACTTAGAATTTTTTTTATTTGTACAACCATCTGACAGATATATCAAAAACTAATAAAATATATTTTGTTTGCAAGCTTTTGAAGAAACAAAGAAACATTTTTTAAATAATCAGTGTTTTAAAATTATTTGTTATATTGCCATAGAATTTTTACATTTCACATAAAAGAATTTGTGTCACGATAAATTTGAATTTACTTGAGAGTAACAGCAACTTACCACGTGGTGTATAGGTTAGCATGCTTGGCCTATCAGCTCAAGGGTATTAGGTTCGAACCCCGCATAAGGGAAGCAAAAAAACTTTAATATCATATAATGTGTTGAGAAGTAAATTAAATGAATATATGTATCGAGGAAATAAATATTTCTAAACATTTAAATCGAAAATATAAGGTTCATTTCATGGTTATACTGCTTATTTCCGGACACCATGCTGCTGCAAGCACGGCATCGTAATGACATCCGCAGGCCCAGCGTCTTGCCGCCATCCATCGGGCAGCCTCCGGCATAAGACAGCGGGCTGCATCATCTGGACGGAGTTTGTCGGCTACCTTTTCCGGCCCGTACTTTTTGTATATGTAGTGCCGGAATACATTTTTTATCTTGCCGTTAGCGGTACGGTGTATTTTTGACACTGTCGGCAAACAGTCAGCTGCCAGTCCATATTTCCATCGGGCTGCTTCCGGCATAAGACAGCGGGCCGACATCACCTGGCCGGAGTATGTCGGCTATCTCTTACCGGCCCGGTTCTGGTCCGTACGTTTTGTGTTTGTTGGGAAGGTACGACAAAACCCGTCACATACAAAGCTGATTATCATTTTGGCATATGACAGTCAATGTTTTTAGTGTGCCATCCAGTTAGTGAGGGCTCTATTGTAAATGCACATTACTACCTGTCATTTTTGCGGTACAATCTTCGTCGTGCAGTTCGAGAAAATCGTCCTGAACTGTTGGGAAACGCTATGGTTTTATATGACAATGCTAGACCGCACACAGCAGGTAGCATTACACGTTGTTTATGGCGTTGGGAATGGGAGGCGTTGCCACATACTCCCTATTCACCCGATCTCAGTCCGTGTAACTACGATCTTATTCCCAATGTGAAGAGGTCATCGCATGTTAAGTGCTTTGCCAACAAACAAGACATCGTCACAGCATTTCTCCGAGAGGTAGTGCGCATTGACGTATCTCATGCAGCCGACTGTGTTTTCCGTCTGCCTCATCACTGGGTACGAACCGTGGACAACCTCGGAGACTACTTTGAAGGATGTTAAACAGCTCGTAAATGTACGATAAGTACCTTTTCAAATTAATGCATACAAGATGTACGAGAATAAATATATTTAACTGTGATTTCAAGCTGCCACGTTAGTCTTTCTTCCTTGCCGGACATTCCTGCATCCATACCCCATGTGGTGTAACCTTTAAAACCTACTTGTCGTACACTTTCACATGTACATAGTGCAGTACCTGTGTTGAATCATTTTCTGATAATAAACAATGGTATTTATTTTATATTTTACATTATTTGGTGAGCTTAAGAACAGAAAAGGAAATTTGGTACCGTTTACTATATTACTATGCTCTTGATCAATAAATCTGCAACACCAAGGACGTGATATATCAACAACCACATGGACTGGAGTAAATAGTTATACACAGGTTACATGATTACTCATGCAGCTCGGTACAACGTAAAGGACACGGGAAAATCAGTTCTGTGTGGTCTCACCACAGGCGGCATTTACCGCTGCTACAAGAAATAACATTGAGACGAAGAGTAAGTGAAGTGAGTTAAGCTATTTGGGCGGCTATTAACATCGAGGTCCTGAGAGCCTATGAGGTTGAAGTGAAGTGTGTATGGAGCAGCGCTTGAATTAAAGGGCTGGGGAAATGGGAGATCCCCTAGAAAACCCGCCTATCAACGGCATCGTCCGGCACGATTCCCGCATGCGAAAATACGGAGTGAAACGGAAGGGGAATGAACCTGGTCCGCCTTCGTGGGAGTCGAGCAGTCTAACCGCATGGCTACCGCGGCCCCTTGAGATTAAGAGACTTTGGATGTCCGTCTGGGGTATCACCGACCATGCTGCTTCAATGAATATCCAAAGTGCATCCGTTGTAGCCGCGTATGTTGTTTGGTAGGCCAGTCTTTGTCCCACCATGGACCAAGATTTACGACAGGCAGAGATACAGTGAACGCGCAAGCCAAAGAAGCAGTGCGACATAGCAGTTATCCACGAACCATCGGAATATATGTGTCGCATGCAGTGACGCATTGTCCTGTTGGTGTAGAGCCCCAGGCTGACCCTAAATGTAGAGGAAAACAACAGGCTTCTATACATCCATGATGTAACAGTTGCAGGTAAGCATACCAGCGATGTCGACTAGGCGCGAGCAGGATTGGATTCCTTTGACACCCAATATAAATACTGGTGCTAGGCTGGTAAGACGTCCTATAAAGCAGGACTCGACCAGTTATGCACCATGGTACGAACAGACACAGATTCAACTGATGTGGTGCGGCCTATCAGAAGCGTAATTCGTCTGAGAAGATGATGTCATGTCTTTCTTCCCTCCTGTTCCGAAGTTCCACGCACCATTGCAGCCGCAGGCAGCTGTGGTGAGCAATGAGTGGCAGCTGCAGTAATGGGCGTCTTGACGATATGCCCTGAAAATGTAGACGGCGACAACCCACGTGTACGGGCACAGATTGTATGCCAGGTGCCTGACCTCCTGAGCGAGAATGGTTGATGTGGCTGTACGGTCTGTAAACGTCATACCCACCAAAGGTCTGTCTTCACTGTTATTGGTGGTATGGGGCCATTGGCACCCTGTTGGACCCTCAGCCCGTCCTTCCTCGACCCACTGATACCATATCTGCTTCATTGTTGCTGCATTTCTTCCAACGCGAGAGCCAATTTCGTGGTAGGGTAATTCGCAATCTTGATAGGCCACGATACCCCCATAGACAAACGTTAAAACAT